TAATGGATCCTCTTTTTATGGAACACAACTACTCATTATCTTTTTTAATTCTAAAATAAATTTAATTTTTTTTAAAAAAAAAGCCTCTTGCAGGCGTGGAAGCGCATGTGCACAAGAAAATTCAATAACCTAAGGAACCAACAAGCCAAAATACATATCACTTACATTTCTTCCAGATGAGTAAGATTTCCAAATTCATCAGGTATAACTCCCGTTAAATTGAGACCCTTCAGCTCACTGCAATGCCAAAATTTAAGCAAAGGAAACTTTGACAGTGGAATTCAAAACAATAAAACTTCAAGCCAAAAAAGTCGTACATGTTTGTGACATGGCAAGTGTTGTTTGCAAAGGAACAGTTGCATGTGACATTGCTTAGAATATTGTTAGTGAAGTATCTGTAAAAGCCTGATCCACCATTTTGGCAAGAACTTCGGTTGATGTTCCAAAGAGTGTTGTGTAGTTTTGTGGAAATTGTTCCAAGAGTTCTCACTGTCACGTACAAATCAATTAGTAATATGAAGCAATAGGTTCACTATAGAAATAAAAGATCAGAAATAACTAAATAAAGAAGAAGAAAAAAAACCAAGTATTTTCAACAGCCAATAAATGCCTCCTTGCGGGGAAGGAGAGAAGCAGTGTCCTTATGCTAAAGAGTGCACGTACTATTGGCACCTATAAAACTACTAAATCACACCCAAGTTTTAAATTTTATGTCAAGTTTAATCTTCACAAAAATTACTAAAACGGACCAAGCCTTTCTGAAAAACTTGTTCATTAACTCACCACATTTGAGTTTTTATTAGTCAATGAAATCAAAAAAGAAAAACATTTAGCAGATTCTTAAAGGCTTCCAAAGCAATAGTCGAGTGTCATCTCAGATTAAAAACTGCCCATATCAAGTGTCAGGCTCATCTTTGACACAACTTATAGATCACATGGTCAAAATTCAGATGCAGAAACAATGGTCAATTTTTTCATACTGATTAACAATATCATTTTCCTTAGGTCTGACTGACCATTTATTAGTATTCTCAATTCACAGGTGGCAGAGGATATGGTCAAAACTACAAGTAGCCCACGTTCACACTACAAAGCATTTATGTAGCGGTACCAGTCAACCCTAAACCTAAACCTAATTCCAGTCGACCAAAACTCATAATAAACCACAGCCTGTAAAACCCATTTGTTTTTTTTAATTAGGACCCTCTCTATATCCTAAAAAAATAAAAAATAATGCTAAATATGGTTAAAACCAATTTTAAAAGTGGTCAAAATCATGCAATTATTGGTGCACTTTTGGTAAGATGCAATCAACACACAACATTTGCTATATGACAAACCAAACAGATAATATCATAATAAAATATTAAGATTAAAATTCCAAATATATCAAATTTGTAAATAAATTTCATGACTGGTAACATCAATGCAACCACCAGATAGAGCTGCCCACTCTGCAACTTGCATTCCTATAAACTATTAAGGACCATAATGTCCCTCATCACCATTTTTCACTCTCCCCATTGATTGCAGAGCCAACTGGGAGGAATTTACTGAACCAATAAGGCCTGCGATCTATATACCATCATGTGGAGATTCCTCCATCATCATGTGGGCCCCAACTATAGCAACTCTTCTGGGCCCACAACCACATAAATCACTAAGATGAAATGAAAATCAACGACCAATACTCATTTTCCTCTCTGACCATGACGATCCTATCAGTAAAACAACAAAAATTGGGGATATTTTCTTTAGCCAAAAAGATGA